CTGAAAGCAAAACAAAAAGGTACAAAAATAAAGAATGAGAGAAAGCGCAAGCCTTTCTATTTAGTGTGATGACAATATCCTGGATAATATTCCATAACATCACATGCAAGGCTTATTATATGTATACTACCACCAGTTATCTACAATTAAAAATCAAGGCATACACATGCAGAGCTAAGGAGCTAAAAGCTAAATGTTGTAATTGTTTCTACATTGATCAACTCCACACGCAGCACATTTCTCATGGCAGTTGTTTTACTTCCTAAAGGTGCTGCCAATGATGTAAAAATTAATCTCATTAACATGTTAGGTGTGGGGGTATATTCATTAACAAGCAGCCAACTTTATGTGCAAGCATTATTGGTACTGGTCTTGGATGGAAATGATGTTATTTAGTGTCCAATCTCACTAACCCTTCAGCGATCTTTGACAATAAAATGACGATCGCAATGCCAGTGTGTTGAGGCTAAATATTAATGTCTAAATGTGATTACTTATTCGTTTTAAAAACAGTTTTCTCTTATAAAAAGGTGTTTCCCAGAAATTGTCACTGACTTGTACAGTACTTAATGTGTGTGCCTTACTGTTTTGTTATTCCTCATAAAATTAGAAAGAATTTTCAATGAGTTATGTTTTTTTTTCAAGTGAAAATCTCCTGCCCTAAACAAATGGTCAATGAGTTATGTTTTTTTTTCAAGTGATGCTCCCAAATCTCCTGCCCTAAACAAATGGCAGGGTTATATAATTATAAAGGAAAAGCATATATTATTGATAACTATGTTACGATGAGGCAATTACGTTTATGAAACAATCGAGGCACACCATAGGTGTACTGTGAAAGATTAGGGTCAGTGATGGGTGCGGACTGGGGTCTTTAGTCATCCTAATCCCTTCGTTGGGGTTTATTGTTGGGCACAGGTGGTTTGTCATCGTAGGGCTCATCGTAACGGTCATCATCTCTGTACCGCCTGTCATCGTCATAACGACGATTATCATTGCGATCGCTGTACCTGTCTTTGTCTCTGCGGTCATCATAGTCGCTACGTCGATCACTGTAGTCACTGCGCCTATCGTCGTAATCTCTTCGGCGGTCAGTATAGTCGCTGCGACGGTCATCGTAGTCACTGCGGCGGTCTGTGTAGTCGCTGCGACGATCGTCGTAGTCACTGCGGCGGTCGTCATGATCCCTACGACCGTCATAGCCGCGCTCACTCCTCTCTTCATAGTGGTCACGGCTCCTGTCTTCTTCCCCGTCGGGCTGACGACTCTCTCCATTTCTAGGGTTGTCTTCTTTGTCAGTGTATTCGTCCTTATTAACACTGAAAAGAAAAACCCACAACAGTCAGAAACCGTGAATAGTATAGTTGTTACAGTATTCATCATGAAAAATGTTTTTTAATCTTGCAGAAACTTACCCCATGGTGTACTCCTCCTGCTGCTGCTGCTTCTTCCTCTTTTGGTGGCGGCAGCATAAAAAGGTGATAATGCTGAGAAGAATCAACACAGCAGCAACTATTCCAATAATTAGTGCAGTCGAACCAAAGTTGATGGAAGCTGCAGGATTGAAGGATGGTGACAATTAGGATGATTTACCTCCAGATTGTTCAATAAAAAAAAAGAGTGAGATAAAATTAGTGTCTTACGTGGCATGACAGAGAGGGTCACATTGCAGGAGGCAGAGCGGATTTTGTTAGCTGAGGTGCAGATATAATATCCGGAGGTTTCTTTGGTGATGTTGTACAGAGACAGGATACCATCCTCTGAAAGTCAACACATCAGTCATGTAATGTCACAGCACAACTCACAGCTGGGTTTTTGTTTTTTTTTTAGTTTTCCCCTAAACTGAACACATCTGCCACCCCGACTGAGTCATAAAGAACCCGAATTCCTTCTATATTATCTTCTTCTTCTTCTTCTTCTCTCTTTTAACATTCTTACAAAAAATAATACATAAATAAATTGTACCTTGTGTTTACCACTATGACTGCAGATAATCACTGTGTATAAAAATGAAGGAAGGAAAGGTAAGTGAACTACTTGTCATTGTGACACAGCACACAACCAAAAATGACTTCTGCTTTTAACCCATCACGTGCCAACAGTGTGCAGCTTTAAGCACCCAGGGAGCAGTGTGGGGGAACGGTGCCATGCTCAGATACTTACTGTCAGTAGTTCTAGGGTCTCTAACACGAGGCATGTTGTTTACATCCCGATCTTCCCACTTATAGGTGGGTGGAGGGGAGCCTTCCTCAGAACGACAGGTCAGGTTGATGTTCTGGCCATATTCTGCCTTTCCCTGGATCTCACAGATGGGCGTAGATGGAGCCACTATTAATGTAAAACAAAAGTAAAATATGTATGAAAATGTGTTCACAGACTATAGACTCAATAATTTACACGTTTGTGTAATTCAGTTTCCAATGTTTACCCAATTATACATAATAACAACAGTATGAATTTGAAAAATGTTCAAAACCTGAACCGGCATGTCTCCATATCTAACCCTTTATCCCTGCAGCGACCTTCAGTTCAGTTCTAGTTCCTGAAATTTCCTTGGTCCAATTTCTAGTTTTCTAGTAGTGGCGTTCATAGAATGACTAGAAGTAACTCTCAGAAGTAACTTAGTTTGAATAGCCTACAGGTCACTTTAAAACCCCAAATGTTCATAAAAGAATATAAATTATGATGTAAACTAGGAATCATGAATCATGAAAATGACATTGCAATATATTAAAAGAATAGCCTACAGGTCACTTTAAAACCCAAAATGTTAAATAGGGAGCAGTCTATATTAACAATCCTTAAATTTTTGCACATTATGTCATCTGTAAGCTTCGGTCTTTCTCAAGAATTCCTGTTGAGAACCCACATGTTACATCACGGTGTGGTCACTGGTTTGTGAAACAGGGAATGCTAACGTTAGGCCCAGTTTTTTTTTTTTTTTTTTTGCATTTCTGTAGAATATCCTTAAGTATTTATACATCTGATCTCAACACAGTTGAAGCCAAGTCACAGTCATTGTACCCTTATTAAGGCAGGAACTTAAATTATAGTTGGTTAGTATACCGTATATGCATCTATTTTCTAAACTACCCCCATTTTTATCTCAAAGTCAACAAGGCATCACCTGTGATAAAATATGTTTAAAAAACAAAGAGAAAAACTTACCCAGAACCACCAAGCGGGTTGTGTCATATGGTTCGCCTTCATCATCACTTGGAATCTGGACACGGCACTCAAACAATTTGTTGTCTTCTAGCGTGATGGAAGACAGTTTTAAGTTGGCCTTTCCAGCACGAAGATCAAAGTCAAGTGCTACCCGGCCTTCATACTTGGCCTTGATGTCTGTAGTTCCAGTGGGAAAGTAGTGGGTAAGGATCAGGGTCTGTTCCAAGACAAAGCACCGGGAAGGGGATAGAGGTTGGATAGAGGTTGGGGGTTGAACCAAGCACTGCTTTAAAAAAAATTTTTTTTTTTTTTTACATGTACAAAAATGAATCACTAACCTCCTCTGCCTCAGCTTCCACAGCCTCAACAGACCATGAGACGACAATGAGCGAGGGGGCCGCCAAACTAGATTTGAATGTGCAGGGTAATGAGATGTTGTCACCCCGTGCAAACTCAAATGTAGGCTTTGGGATTTGCACTGTGAGAGCACCAACACTGGATATAACTGTAACAGGTTTACAGAAAGTCCCAATTTAATGAATTGTATAATATTATATAAATTAAGTTTTGTTTTAAAGTAACTTCCTAATTTACCTGCATTTTTACCCAATCTAAACTTGACTTATAACCATCTCTGTACCTTTGTTGACTAGGTGTGACTGGTTAACCATTTTCTACAAATAATGCTCCCACAAACTAACTGGAAACTTGGTATAACCATTAATAAGGAAATAAACTAAACATGTTGACATTTAGATTATGTAGGAACTGCCAGATAGCTTTTTTTTTTTTTTACCTCCAACTAAACTAAACTAAATTACTCACTTGCTGATTAACCCACTACTGTTTAGCAAAACTACTGTATTTCTGACTATTGAAAAAAAAAACCCACAATTTTAAAAACTTAAAAATAATCTACAGAAACCTAAATGTTTTCTGTGAAAAATGTCATGTTCATTGGTAGAAAACCACAAAAAATAAACATATATTTGTTGTGGTTTCCTTAATTACAACATAGGAAGTATATTATGAAAAACCCGAAGAGAAATTTGACTGTGTATATCAGCTTTAATAAATATTGAGTATTAAAGGATTTTCCAACTCCGTCTTTGCAGTCAAGGTTGCGCCATAGCGCTACACTTTTGGCGGAACTTTGAAGAAACGTTCTCTCTCATTTCAAAACTAACATTGCACAAAGGCAGATAAATCAGCTTAATTTTCGTCGTAATAGCTACTTCATAATTAATTTTAAATATGTTGCCAAAATATGTAATAATATTTCTGGAAATTGTGCTTATGGATTTTGGTCGAAAGGGCTCATAAGAAAACAAGATAGACTTTTTTTTAATTAAGGGTGCGTGTAAACAGTCTCTTTGGCTATAAATTTGATTAATTTTACCTTTGTGTGTGGAAATGTATATTATATCCAAACGAGCAGCAAAACAAAACTAAGATGGACGCCCAGTATTCACAGGCTTTAGAATAAGGTTCACAAACAGGTGTGGTCCCGTCATCGGTAACTAACACAAACTGATGTCGTTTATGACAATGGTACTCACCTAGACACGCCGCAGCCAAAGACAAAATGATTCTCTCCATAGTTAAAACGAATCTGCTTCAAAACCACCCGTTAATGATTTGTTTTTTGGATGTTTTTTCTTCTTTTAAAGGACGCGACGAACGACTAGCGCCCGACGCTCAGATGCATCGAAACCCGTCTGTGTCCTCAGTCTCAGGGTGCGCCCTCAGCCTGCGGGTGAGTGACAGCTCTCTACACCAATCAGAACAGTCGCCCAGGTTCAGGTAAAATTCTTCACCTACACACCTGACGTGTCTCTGCTTGTCCTTTCCTGCCTACTCTATTTGACTTTTTCAGGAAC